TCCTTCTCCTCCTCCTCCTCCTCCTCGATCCTCCTTCTCCTCCTGCCCCTTCTCCTCCTGTTTCTCCTCTCCTCCCCCTCCTCCTCGATCCGCCTCCTCGATCCTCCTCCTCCTCCTCCTCCTCCTCCCCCTCCTCCTCCTCCTCCTCCTCCTCCTCCTCCTCCGCCTCCTCCTCCCCCCAACCCTCTTGGCGGCGCGCAGCGGGGGGTCGGGGGAGGGGGGGAGGCTTCTCAGAAGGAGGCTGCTTCCTGGAAGGCGCCGGCCGCCCCACATCTGTAGGCAAGGCCCGTGCCCTCTAAGACGCAGGGTGCTTCCAAGAAGCCTTCCCCCCATCCCCCATACTGGCCAGCCTCGAACGTATCCCTATCCCTAAGGTGGGCGAGCAAGAAGCGAGGACAATCGTAGGGACAGGCCCTCAGAAACTGAGGGAATCCTCAAGATCGGCATCGAGGTAAGATGAGATCAAACATAGGGATAGGGATATATTTCAAACTGGTAAAACACAGGTTGTGGGGGGAGGGGTCGGGAGGCAGCTGGTGGGAGGCCTTTGTAAGAACGAGCGGGGGCCTCCGACCCCGACCAAGGGCCACGAGGCCAGATTGGGCCGGCTTGGGCGGGAGGTTAAGCATAAGTAGACGGGATCAAGCCAGTGTAAGCGAGATGATGCCAGATTGTGCCGGTTTCGGACCACGGATCTAACAGCGCCGATGCCGAGCTCAACCTCCCAGGATCTGCCTCCTAAGAGGGGGGATCGATGAGTGCAGAGACAGCCCCGTGTCCTTCGCGTTGAGCGGCGAGAGGAGCGCCCCCGGCCCGGCCAGCACGTCCGCGTTCAGCCAGAGGTGGCCCCCCAGCCTTCGAGCGGCGTCGATCTCACGGAGGTATCTGATCGTCGGCTCCACGCAGTCGAAGTGCTTGAAGTCGAGCTTGATGCCCTTGCGGACCCGCCTCGTCTGGGAGTTGGCCGAGGAGTGGTCCCTCCGAGACCCGACGCACGCGGTCAGCACTCGGCCATTCACCTTGGCCTGGTCGTCCAGCTCCCTCCAGAGCGCTTCTGGTTATTCGCGACAGCGGCCGCTACAGGCCCCGGCCCCCCCGCCCCCTCGCCAGGTAACGTCACGATTCGCGCTGACCTCCGAGTGGCTCTGGCTATTCCTGGACATTCCCACACGGCGCCGGCGCGAAACGTGGCGTTAGAGACCCTCCGCCTCCCTCCCCCCCCCCCACACACACACGCCAGTAGCGCCCTCTAACGCCCTCGGTTCTGCTTTGGAAAACGCTCTCCTCGTCAGGTCCTTGGCGAACGCCACGGCCTCGTCCTTGGCGCTGCCTATCGGCTCGACGTCCAGCACTGGCTGGCGCCGCCGGGACGCCATCGGATGGCCAGCGCCCGCCCCGAGAGAAGGGCCGCCCTCGGTGGCGCCGGAAACGGACGAGGACGCCCCGCCAGTCGGCGTCGCTTCGCAGTCCACGACGTCCTTTTGGGAAGGGCCAAACGTCCCCTCAGGACGACGTACCCCAGGGAGGTGTCGCAGCGGCCACGGTTCCAGCCACGGTGGGCGTCGAAACGAAATGCAGCCGTTGGGCGCCCCGAGGTGGGCCCTCGTGCCCCCTCTCCAGGGTACGTCTGTTCTGGGGTACGTCTGGCCTCCCCGGAGTCCTCGGCAAACCAGATGTCGTGCTGGTCTCTGCCCGAGTCCAGCCGCTCGTTGTGGCGCAGCACCGCGCTCACGAAGCGCTCCAGGCTGAGGTCGCTGGACCCCTCCGTGGGGTAGTGCGCCATGATGACCGACTGCTGGCTCGCCGTCAGCACCGAGGTGGTCTCCTGAGTCGGCGCGGCGCCGCTCAGCCTGCCCCGCTCGCCCCTCCGAGAGGGTGCCTGGATGGGCGGAGGTGCCGACAGGTCGCCGCCGGGGCTGACCGGGGGGGCCTCGTAGAGCTGCGCGGCGGGCGTCAGCGGCCCCGCCGCCACGTCGGCCTCGAGGAAGTGGGCGGAGGCTGCGAGCGCGCCCCGCAGCCTCCGCTTCGAGTTCACCGCGTGGGCCCAGCGGAGGCGGTGGGCGAAGCTCTCCGAGAAGTGCTCTGCGGCGGACTGCGGGTAGTGCACCTGGAGGGCCAGCGCGCCGGGGCCAGCCGCGCCGGGGCCAGGCTCGGGGCCCGCGGGGTGACGGGGGCGGGCGTTGGCCTCGAGACCCGTCTCTGGCCCGGCGGGGGGGGCCTCCTCGACGGGCGGCTCCCACTGCGACTGCCCGGTGGCGCGATTGGCGTAGTAGGGGTAGCCGGTGCTGGGGTCCACCGCGACCTCCCAGCCAGGAAGAAGGCGCGCGTTGAGGATGTCCTCGGGGAGGCACACGCTCAGGTCCACCAGCGGCTCAGGTCCGCCTGGCGACGCGGACTCGTCCGCGTCCGCTGGGTCGGCGCCGTCCTCGGATCCCGCGGCCGGCGCGCAGCCGGCGGCCGAGGCTTCAGACTGCGGCACTTCGGCGCTGGGCTCTTCCATCGCAGGGCCACGCCCAGTGGGGGCCCTCGCCGAGGGCGCAATGGCTTGAGCCCGAAAACGGCCTACCCGGACGATGGCGGGCGGTCCACGAGCACCACGCCCGTCACAAGGGGCGGCGTGAGAGCGAGGCTGGAAGATGCTTCGGTCCCGATCAAACATGGGCGAGCGGTGCTCTCCATCGAGCGCCAGTGCAGAAGACGTGTTTCTACATGTACTCCCCACCTGAAAATCTGACCTGCGCGTTTGGGCTGTGCGGCCTCCCTGGATGCAAGAACTCTGGTTCGAGTGGCACTTCCAGAAGCTTCGAATGTGGTACTGTCGCCACGTTGCGCTCCCAGAATGCCCCGACCCCTCATAAATAAATGCGGCCTCCCTGGATGCGAATAATAATGCACTGTTGCTGCTTCTTGAACGCAAGAACACTACAGTGCGTGACTGTCGCCGCTTCGCGCATCCCATGGAAAGCCCAAGCATTTATAAACCAGAGTAATTGGCCTGGGCGACTCGCTCGCTTCCCTCGCGGCGAGAAGTACGGTATTGTCGGCGCTTCGTTGGTGCCCGGCGGCAGCAGTGCGGTATTGTCACCATTCTGCGCAACCCATGAACCCAGACCTACGTTAATCATTGCGCTTCGCATGGCCCCAGCAAGTCAGCACGTCATCACTGATGGCGAGAGGGCAAATCTGCGCAGCCAACGGGGCAAAACCCTAGCAAACCACTGCCTCTCGCATAGACCCAGGAGTCCCCTGCGGCCTACAAGGAGGCCTAAAATGTAGAACTGAAAGCGGGGTATGGTCGCCACTTTGCGAAGCTACTGAGTTGCAACCCTGATACATCATTGCGCCCAGGATGCCTGAGCAGTTCAACGCGGGCTTCCAAGAGGCGCAACAACTTGCTGCCCTTCCGAGCCCTGAGGGCCTTCGTTGATAGCTGACCGGACCCATCAGGCCACCCAAATGACTAAAGATAAAACCCTAGAAGCCTCCCTAGAAGGCCCAGGATAGAGAACATTCGCTCTGAGACATGTAGCGGACACCTTTGCCGTCCGTCTTCAACCTCACATGGCGGCCACAGGCCCCAGGATAAGACATTTCCGTGGCGCACCTGCTGGCAGGCAGGTTTCATCATGTGGTGCGCCTACTGCGGTGCAGGGGGAAGCGGCCGACGCCCTGACAAAAGAAGAACCCCACTCAAGGAGGTGGGAAAGAAGTGACAGCGCTGCCGGCTGCCCACATCTCAGGATTACGGGAATGGGCTGCGGCCCGATGGAACGCACAACGGCTGGCAAAGATCAACTTTGTTGGTCGCAACGCTGCGGATCACAACGCAGTCGGACTGGAACAGGACGCGGTCCAGTAAATTTCGCACCTGCACAGCAATAAACGAAAGAGGGCGGCCACCGAGAGAGGCGAGGGGGGAAGGCCACGCTCAGATAAAGAAGAATGTCATGCGCGGTGTCGGCAGCCCCTGCTAAAGATCAACAGCAACGATCGCAAGGACATCAGGAACAGGTAAACACGCTAGACAAGCTCGGCGACGTACGCCTGACAGGAACTAAGGGCAGAAGCACTAACGTGGTCAGAAAAGAAGATCACACCGGATGACGACAACAACGATGGCGACGCCGACGATCGACGGCCAACGACCGACGACAGACGGCCGACGACCGACGACCGACGACCGACGACGAACGACCGACGACGGACGACCGAGGACGGACGACGGACGACCGACGACCGACGACGGACGACCGACGGCCGATGATCCACGACCGACGACAGACGGCCGACGACCGACGACGACCGACGACCGATGATCGACGACCGACGACCGACGACCGAAGATTCCCTTGTGCCATGTTGTAGCCGCCGACGACGACCGACGACGCCCCGAGTCCCCGGCCGCGCCGAAAAAGTCTCCTGCAGCGGGCGCTCCAGCGAGGCGGGCCACAGGGGCGCGCCGCCGAAGAGGCGGCCCCAGTGGTGGGCGACGGACCTCTCGCTGTAGCCTGGCGGCCGACGACGACGACGACGACAAGGAGGAAGACAAGGACGAGGACGACGACGACGACGAGAAAGACAAGGACGAGGACGGCGACGACGACGACGAAAACGACAAGGACGACGACGACGACGACGACGACGAGGAAGACAAGGAAGACGAGGACGACGACAACGACGACGATGACAACAACGGCGACGACGACGACGACGACGACGAGGACGGCGAGGACGAGGACGAGGACGAAGACGACGAGGACCACGAGGACGAGAACGGGGACGGAAAGAAAGGGGAGAAGGAGACGACGACGAGAACGAAGACGGGGACGGGGAATTCAAGGAGAGATTGGAAAAAAAAGAAACAACGCAATTCGGAATTAGTATGATCACAATTCGGGCATGAAGATGTCATGCCGGCAGCTCGCATCCGAGCATCCAGTATAGATATATATATATATATATATATATGTAAGTCAAGCTTGTGTTCCGCCCACGTTTCTGAACTGACCCCAAGGACTTTTCCACGACAAACCAAGAGAACACACAGACGACGACCACGAGAAGGAAGACAAAGACGTGGAACAAAGGAGGGGGATCTGGGTCACGGGACCGTGCATTTTAAAAATGGGTGGTGGGCGGCGCGGAAATCTTGCTGGGCAACAGTCGATCCCAAGGATACCTGATGGTTTTTGGTAAACAAACGCGCGATCCTAATTTGTTTAGGAGAGGATGGGGGGGCGATACCGATCAAACTGGGACAGTACGAGTTCATACTCAGGATGGACGGGTTCGCGAAATCACATGTAAATTGCAATATGCGAAAGGGCGTCGTTAACCCCGGGGGGGGAGAAGGGGTAGGTCTTATAATTCCTCTGAAAAGGAGGACCTTCGTGGTGAAATCTACGCGGTGCAATTGACTACCCTGCACCGCGCTTGACCACTCCACTGCTCGCGCAAACATCCCACCCACCCACCCGCAACTTGGTTCGCAAAATCTCTTAAGACCGTGACGGTGGGTACCAAATGGCACTTGCCAACGACAGCGACGCCGACGACGACAGCGACAACGACGACGACGACGCCGCCGACAACGACGACGACGACGACGACGACCGACGACGACTGACGACGCCGACGCCGACGACTACGACGACGACAACGACGATGACGATGACGACGCCGACGACGACGACAACGACGACGCCGACGACGACGACGACGACGACGTCAACGACGCCGACGACGACGACGACGACGACGACGACGGCGGCGACGACGACGACGCCGACAACGACGACGAAGACGACGACGACGCCGACGCCGACGACGACGACGAAGACGACGACGACGTCGCAAACGAAGACGACGACGAGGGAGGAGGGAGGACGACGACGGCGACAACGGCGACAACGACGACAACGACGAGGGAGGAGGGAGGACGGCGACGACGCGAACGACGAAGAAGGAGGAAGGACGGCGACGCCGACGACGGCAACGACGAGGGAGGAGGGAAGACGACGACGACAACGACGACGACGACGACGACGGCGACGACGGCGACGAAATAGGAGGGACGACGACGAGACGCCGACGACGGACGACGACGACGACGACGACGAGGGAGGAGGAGGAAGGACGACCACGGCGACAACGACGACGGAAACGACCACGACGCCAAAGAAGACGACGACGACGAACACGAGGAAAGACAGAGGACGACGTAGGCGACGACGACGACGACAACGACGCGGGAGGAGGGAGGACGGCGACGACGACGACGACGACGACGCAAGAGCGCGCGCGCACGTTTTTGTTGAAAATCCGTGTTGCGAAACCTTAGGTTGTTGTAGGTTTTTTGGACGCGCGATTTCGAAATCCTTCCGAAACGGATGGGTTGTGAAGGATTTCGGCGTACGCGCGCGACCACGCGCGCGTCTGCACTTCGTCCTGTTTTTTGCAGAGGATTCTCGCGACGGCACACGCGCAAGGGCGTTCGACAGATTTCGACATGCGCGCGCGAAGCCCGTTTGGTAGCATGTTGTGAAAATCTTGAAAAACGCATGGTTTTCTGAAGATTTCGCAAGAGCTCGCGCGGAAGCTTTTTTAGCAAATCAGTGTTGCGAAAACATGTGTTGTGTATGTTGTTTGGGAACTCGATTGCGAAATCCCTCCGGCACCGAAGGTTTTTGAAAGATTTCGGCATGCGCGCGCGACGACGCGCGCGTGTGCACTTCGTCTCGTTTTTCGCAAGGGATTCGCAAAAAAAGTGCTATGTTAGAACCAAAAATGTTACTGCATTGTGTTTTTTACAAGTGACCCTCAGGGGGGGGAATCCGGCCTGCCTGGGATGGTATGATTTCATATTAAGGATGGACGAGTGTGCAGAAGATATATATATATATATATATATATAATATCCCAGGGGGAAGCGTTAAGTCCGGGGGGGGTAGAGTCTATGCCAAACTTGAAGTTGTCAACTCCACTGCTCGGGCAATAATCCCAACCACCAGCCCTCAACTTGGTTTGCAAAACCATGCGGCGGCGATTGCGATGACTGCTCGGCGCTGGCTGGCGCATCGCCGCGGCCGCGCCACCGCGCATGCTCACGCGCAAAGCGGCCAGCTTGTTCGGCGCGACCGACGCAAGCTGACCACTGGGCGCTTCCCACCGGGCACTTCAATGCGAGTCGGCGACTCGGGCGGGCGCGGTACCATGGCAACGTCGACAACGGTAGACGCGATGATGGTAGTAGCGATGCTGGCGCCGATGATGACAACGACGACGGCACGGCCACTGACGGCGCCGATACTGACCACGCCGACGACGATGCCGGCGTCCTCGCGTCGGTGATGGAAGTTTTGGAAGGAGCTCGACATGCGCGCGCGGCCGACGCGCGAGAGTGGCCCGCACGGTTTTATTCCACTCGGACCGTGCCCCCCCCAGCACGCGCGCAAGGGCGTTCGAATGACTTCAACATGCGGTGCGAGAGGCCCACTTGCC